TTTATGGCGTCGTAGCGCGTCGACATGAAGTCTGAACGCTGTCTTGCTCACGCATATCCTTCCATATTCTAAAATTTGCGACAGACGCTTAGGTTGGATGCGTACGTGGAACTCGTTTGTTGTGTTAGGTTCTTTTTTTCTCGTTTCATTAATCCATCCGATTTTTGTGCTTATCTCAAACCCAGTGAAGATAGTGAGCTTATATTCTCACACTGATCGGGTTCGAGCGAATTATACAGTACGGCTTTCACTTGGTGATTTATTTTATTGTTTCTCAGTTTGTGTGTGTTTTTTCTTTGAGAAGTTTTGCATTGTTCATTGCAAAAGTTACTGCTGATTCTTTTTGAAATATGTTGTGAATGAACTTGGAGATGCACAGCTCATAAAATAAAAGCTTACAGAATCCATTCTTTTTTTCCAGCATTGCGCAAAGCGACGTCGTCGAGCTTCTGGGTCATCACAACGTCACACCATCATTATGAATTCTACGACGAGGGGGCCTAATTGATGAGCGCTGGATAGGTTCATTAGCCTGGAGTCAGTCAGCAAATAACAGCGCTTCTTTTGAAAATAGAATTTCTCTTTTTGGGCAGCGTTACGCTCTTGTAAACTCAGTCAGTTCATAAAATTCTTCAGTCTGATTCCGATGTGTCAAGCTCTGAGCGTATCAAAAGCTCGGATATTTCTGGGCTTTTGTAAAAAAACTCACAGCCTCACTATGCTTTCAGAGTCCATCTTCTCCTTGAACTGAACGATTGATCGGTTGATGTCGTCTGAGTATGCGACATGCATAACCCCCTCCCCCACCCCTGGATGCAGTTGGCGAGGTGTATGTCGAATTGGGCGATGCTAAAGTCAAAAACTTATACAGTCGTCTTCCGGTGACTTATTGCGGCAAGGGACGCGACGCAGCTGGCAGTGTGTTGCGATCACCTGTTTCCAGCCTATTTTAGTCATTTTCTCCCTAGTTTACGCTGTTTTGGCTGCTTTTCTCACGATTAGTTGTTTCTTGTCTTCACAAAATTATGATTGAGATTCTTCTGGTTTTTGCGTACAATTAAACAGTTAAGCAGACAATCGAACAAATAGCTGAAAAAAAATCGCAAAAACACTATTGCAAAACAAAAGAAAACACTCCTCGTCCTAATATACTTCATATAGACGATAGAACAACTAACCTCAAAAAAAATAGAAAATAATCGTGAGAAAAGCAGCCAAAACAGCGTAAACTAGGGAGAAAATAGGCTGGAAACAGCTGATCGCCGCGCTCGCAACACACCGCAGCCGCGTCCCGCCCAAATCCCTTGCCGCTCAAATCAAGTCACCGGATGACGACTGTAATTCTGCTCCTAGAGAATTCAGAGATTGGGGATCGACACGAGGAGGGCATAGCTGAGGTCAATACCGTAGAATTGTTGAAAATTACATGTTTTCGCGTAAAAGTTTCTCGAGAAGAGAATAG